CATGCATATGAGGTTATTGAAAATACCATGGCTTGGATCAGGTTCACCTTAGTCCTCAAGCTGACATCTCTGCTCTTCAATACTTTAAAAAGGTCTTGTGCAGCAGATTTGCCTAACGTAATATGTCGTTTGATTTCTTGACTGCTGCTTTCATGAGTGTTGATAGTTAATCCAAGAAGAATGAAGTCCTTGGCAGCTTCAATCTTTTCTCCATTGATAAGAATGTTGTTTATTGGTCCAGTGGTGAGGATATTTGTTTTTACATTGAGATGTAATCCATACTAATGCGTCCGACAGCAAAGTCATTTGAACTGCAAAGTTGGTGGGTCAAGCTCACCAGCTGCTCCTTGGAAATCCTATACAGGGTCGCTATGGGTCAGAATTTACCCGACAGCACTTAACAACAGCATGAACAAAAAGGAGCAGAAAAATATCAAAGCAAAACCCATCACCATTATGTAGAAAAATACTGACATTAAATCTTTGTCAAACTGGGCAAAGATTGAGCCAGTCTGAAATAATGGAGGTATAGTGAGCACTTGGGTAGCGTAGTGGTTACGAATCGGGCTGTGAACCTTGAGGCCAGCAGTTCGAAACTACCAGCCACTCCGTGGGAGAAAGATGAGGTATTCTGCTCCCGTAAAGATTTACAGCCTCGGAAACCCTGTACAGGGTCGCTATGGGTTGGAACCGACTTGACGGCACTTAACAAGAACAAGAACAAGTGAGCACTTGGAGTCCTGGTTTGGTGCTGCGGGTTAATGCACTGGACTGTAAGGTACGTTTGAACCACAAGATTGGCTCACCAGCTGCTCCTCGAAACCCTATACAGGGTCACTAGAAGACAGAACCGACTCCACAGGGCACTTTACAACAGTGAGCACTTACGTGAAGTTAATTCCACACTTGGAGACCAGACGATAAATGCCAAGGTCAAACAATGGGATGAAGATAAGAACCAGAAGAGGATTTAGTACCTGTAACACCAAGATAAGGAGGACACGTTAAAAGTGTTTTTTGATAACTTTCTTATACTCTCTCTTCTCATATCACACATACTTTTTTAATAAGTATGAATGATCCCACAACTTTATCTCCAAGACCCTATTTCCTTTACATAATATCTTTGCTTCCAAATATCATAAGAAAACAGATTCATTCTGAGCCAAAGTTTTAAATAAATTTTGCCACTCAAACTTCCCTCCTATTTTTGCTTATCTTACCCAGATCCGTAGTCCAAAGGAAAAATGTCATGGCCAGGAGAAAGGAAAGAGAAACAAGTATTGGGGATGTTGAACAAGGGATTAAGAAATGAACTGGGAGTCATCTACCAGCTGAGATTCTGACTTCAATGCTCACACAACAAAGTCTTACACTTTTGTTGACAATATTTTTGTTATAATTTTGATATGGAAAAAGTAAAATGATTATACTTTACCTGTGTGCTATCCCTGGAACTGGATAGGACCTACTTAGTTAACAGGGGATGTGAAAGAGAAGATGTGGGCTTAAGGAGATCAGATTATTATTATTATTAATCTTTATAACTACAGGTAAGGATAGAAGTTAGAACAGAAATAGGTCTCCGTGCCTATAGAAAAGAGACTTACTTGCATCTGGTCAGGCTGAAGCACAAAAAACCCCTGAAATATTAGAATAAAATATGTTTAGAATGTTGCAGAAGAGAAAAAGCTCAATCAACAATATTGCAAATTAACAGAGAGGCATTAAAAGAAAATTATGTTTTTGGTTCAGAAGTACTCTTGCGTCTGTCAGGGTATGTGGTATGGGGAAAATATTGGAGATGGCTTCTGGCTGTTTGCTGAAGGCAAATGGGCCTATGGAGAATTTTCTTTTCAATGTAATATGATTTCCTTAGCTTGAGAGGAAACAGTGACAGTGTATTTTATTAATATCAGTAACTGTAGTTGAAGGTAGTAATAATAAGGAGAAGGCATCATGGTTAGGGTGAAGACTCCTACCCCTAAACAATGTTTTCAAAGGTGTTCTCCAGGTGTCAACAAAAGGATCACCTTGGTGATTCTGAACACACAGAGGAAAGGAGAAGGAAAAATTATATTTGACAAATTCCAAATGGACTGTTTAATACAATCCTTGCAGCATCCCACTCAGCCCTATTCACAACTGAAAAGACAGAAAAATAATACTGTGGTGTTGTGAATTATTAGTGTGGAGCTGAAGGCTAATGTGCTGGACTGCAATGTCAGTATGAACCACAAGGTCGATGATTCAAGCTCACCAGCCGCTCCTTGGAAACCCTATATGAGTCAGAACTGACTCGATGGCACTTAACAACAACAACAACAAGACATAGTCTAGACCTCCATAGAAGCAGACCCTCAACAAGATGGATTGACACTGAAAAAGTAACAGTGAGCTCAAACATTAGAACAATTATAAGAATGGCTCAGTACCAGGCAGTGTTTCGTGCTGTGTGTGTAGGGTCACTAGGAGTTAGAACAAACTCTATGGCTTCTAACAACAACAGATTTGCTGGCCCACAGAGCTAGAACTGAGTGCCTTCAGGCTGAGACTTGTGTGCTCTGTGGGCATCTGTCAGCAGCTCTAAAGCAGCTTTGTAACATTCCCCAGCAAAGAGAGACCTGACTGTGGGCACAGCTGAGAGAGGCTGTCCTGAAAGACATTATCCTGAACTTTTCTGACCCTGAATTGTAATCTGTTAGCTTCCCTAATAAACCCAATTACTATGAGTATCATGTCTGAGTATTGTGTGGCCATGAATTACTGAACTTAGCTGAGTGGAGACTGTTATGGAAAGATTAATGTTCATTATTTTTTGCAAATACAATAATCTAGGTGGTATATAACATGAATGAACCTGGATGACATTATGCTGAGTGAAATTACTCAGTCACAAAAGGTAAAATACTGTATAAAACCACCATTGTAAAAACTCAAGAAAAGGTTTCATGCTAAAAGAAATATTCTTTGTCAGTTACCAGGGGTGGAAGGGAAGGGAGAGTAATTCACTAGTTAGAGGGTATGCAGGTATTAACAAGTGGGAGGTTGCCAGTTGAATGATGAAGACAGGTGAAGACATAGGGAGGAAAGCAAGGGTTAAAGGGGAGAGAGGTAAATACTGTCATATACATAACACTGCAACAATAGTGTTCTATAGGTAGATACATGGACAGATACATAGGCTGAACGGGCATGAGAGAGAGAGGGAGTATACCCACAAATATATAAGGGTTTGACAGCAGATCTCTGTGCATGGGTATGTATCTTTGCTGCAAACACGGCTATGAATGTGGTGGAACATACAGGGGACAAAATAATGAAAACTTCTTAGACCTTATCAAACACCTTGAGCAATGAGTTGCTGGGCCTGGGGGCTCAGGACCATAGTCTCAAGGGAAACTATGGTTAACTAATTGGCATAACACACTCCCCAAAGCCATTGTTCTACATCCTGTTTTGGTGAGTCACAACTGGGATCTTAAACGTTCTTGAGAGGTCATCTATTGGTCTCTCCACATGCAGAAGAAAGAAGAATGATGACAACTGAAGATGCTTGGAGTCAATGAGTCCAATGGGCTAATGAACATGTGAACATCGGTCTCCGTTACTCTGAGACAAGAAGAACTGGATGGTGCCTGGCTACCACTACCAACTCTCTGAAAGGGATAGCATTAGGAGGTTCTGGATAGAATAAGGAGACAATGTGGAACAAAACTCAAAATTACGAAAAAGAAAAAAAGACCAGGCTTACTGATCAGAAAGAAACTGGAGGATCCTGAGACTATGGTCCTTAGCCACACTTCAGGTTTGGAATGGAACTCACCCTCATGGCCTACAGGGACACAAACTGATTTCTCCAAAATGGCCACACTAATGTCAACTGAAGCCATATTCCTATCCCTTTCCCTTGTTCCAGCTATCTTGGAAGGAGCAGACAGCCATCCTGCTGCTATGCATATGGAAACGACTTGCTCTCATGCTTTACTTATGTATAAGCTAGGAATGAGTCCTCAGCCCTCTCCTCTTGCTATGCCTACCAATGCTGTTTGTTCTTTAGGAAGGAGCAGGCAGCCCTGAACTGTGTTTTTGCCTACTACTTTCTTGTTTTGCATATCACTGTTAGTCACCCTGATGTTTGTGATGCTTGTATAGCATACCCTATAATACAAAAAGTGTGGTGATGTAGGATCAGCACTGTACAGCTAGCCATAAGGTTAATGGTTCACACCCACTAACTGATCCTTGGAAACCCTACACAGGGTCACTATGAGCTGGAACTGACCCGACAACACTTAACAACAGTAGCCCATACCCCTCGCATGGAAAAACCTCACTGTCCAGCCAGCCACTACTGAAAGCAGCTGTTTTTTGTTCTTTATAAGTAAAGTTCCTTGTAGGTAAACCATCTCTTTTATTTTATTTTCTGTAATAAACTAATGTCTCTTGGATTGTGTTATGGTCATTTTGTTTTGTTTTGTTTTTCCCAGTCTCTTGGCACCTATGTACTCAGCAGGATTTTCTGCTTTTGTCTTCTGGGCCTAAACCTCAACACGGTCCAGTTTTCAACCAAGCATTGTTATTGTTTTTATGTGTCATGGAGTCGGTTCTGACTCATAGCGACCCTGTACAGGGTTTTCAAGGCTGTAAATCCTTATAGGAGAAGAAAGCCTCACATTTCTCCCACAGAACAGCTGGTAGTTTCAAACTTAAGGTTTGCAGCTCAATTCATAACCACTATGCTACCACAACTCCTTAGCATTGGTACCCATTATGTACATAATGGTAGGTACATAATGGAGACAACAACACTAGGGAGGTATGCTCACCATGGAATGGCAAACAATTCAAGATCAAAAGGGCAACATTTACCTGGGAATATGTGGCACTACATGGTAATGTACTGGACTCTGCAAGGTCGGTTTGAACCACAAGGTTGGAGGTTCAAGCTTACCAGCTGCTCCTCAGAAACCCTAAGACAACTCAATGGCACTTAACAACAAGAAGGTTCAGAAGGATTGGGAAGGAGGGTGGAATGGAAATACTAACCACAGGGAGGAAGTGGAATCATTGTAACCTGGAGAGGATTGCAATCATTGAGATGAAACAAAGTATGTGATTTGTTGAATGTAAAACTGATGATCTGTTTTGTAAACATTCACTCCATTCACACAAAAAAGTTTCAAAAGAAATAATAATTTAGGAGGTAAGACAATTAAGAGTGGAGATGTTACCTTATTTCAGTGGGACAAAGAATGGAGAGAGGAAAAAGAGAGAATAATGTTAAAATTTTTCCCACTTTTTCCCTATTTGCCTCTCTTCCATTTCTTCCATTGGAACTCTTACCTAAGAGATGGAATCAATTATATAGTGGTGTTGGTGGTGGTTATGTGCTATGGAATCATTTCCGATTCATAGCAGGGTTTCCAAGGCTGTAAATCTTTACAGGAGCACAAAGCATCCTCTTTCTCCCTCAGAGCAGCTGGTAGATTCAAACCACTGACTTTGTAGTTAGCAGCCCAACTCGTAATCCACTACACTACCAGTTGTATTGTTGTTGTTAAGTGCAGTTGAGTCAGTTCTGACTCATAGCAATCCTGTATAGGGTTTCCCGAGGAGCTTCTGGTAAGTTTGAACTGCCAACCTTGTGGTTCAGACCAACCTTTTGGTCAAGTACTTAACCTATAGCATCACATCAAGGCTGCCATTCCATGGTGAGTGTACCTCCTTAGTGTTTTCCCCACTATATACCTATCCACTGCTTGGTTGAAATTTTTATAGTAAGGTCAATAAAACCTGTCTTCACTGTGCCCCTGGTTTGGGTTTAGATGGGGAAAAAAATATCACTAAGCTAGGTCCTTTACTCTCCATACTTCTTTGTATATACTTAAAGATTTACCATCTTCCTAATTTCTAAAGACAAAATTCTGTTTTTTATTTCTTGACTAGCCTTCTTTATCTTTACCTATCCAGTATCTTCAGGTTAAAAGTGCCTGTTAATAATCTTAAAGTGTTTCAGGCAAAAACAATGAATTTTCTTAACATGGATGATAAAGAAAATAATCAATTTCACCAGAAAATCTTTCTACTTACCAAATTCCCATCCATCCTGGTGGCTTGCAAAGTCCACCGTGAGCCCTAGGACAAACAAATACTATTATAAGAAATCCCTTTACTGTTAGTGAAAGGGCTGGAAGGAGAAGCTTTCAAGGGAACTATTATTCTTACCTGCTGATCCAAAAGAGCCCAGAACATGGGCAATGGGATATAAAGGAACAGTACCCTGGTCAGAGCCTTCACATCCAGAATAAGCTGCTTCTGCAAGAAGAAGAATAGGCGAAATTACCTGAAGGGCCATACCTGGCTTTCTTAGAGTAAGAGTGCCCAGAACAGTAAGAAAAGAGATTAATTGCAGCAGGAGGGTATCAGTTTGATCATTAGGAAACACTCCATGGAGACATAAGATGTCCCCACAGTTCCCAACTTACCGGATATTTCTCAGTTGCCCAGTCCAGCCAGTGCTGTCTCTTTGGAACATCTCCAGAACGGTTCTTGAAACGGTTGGAAATAGCAAACTAGGGAAGGGTATGGATGTCAGAGCAAAGCCAAAAAGAAACCATCCCTTGTTTTTTCCAATTCATTATACTTTCCCTTAAACACACACACTCTTGTCTTTAATCTCATGAATCATTGAATTTCAGGATAGTTCAGAGTTTATCTATCCTATTTCCTGTTGGTATCATATATAAATACACTTCAGAAGGTTTCTTAACAATTAAAAAAATAGTTATATTATTTATGATTGAGTAGAGAAACAAAGGAAGATGGATTAATCTCAGCTTGGCAAACATCGCTGAAGTAGAACATAGATCATTAAGAAAAGTATACACTTATGTTTGGATACCCATATGCCCATTACATAATCTTTTCTTTGGTCAGAAATTTAAAAAAATTATTGGACTTACCCAGATACATTTGACAACTTGAGCCACTATGTTTCCTTCAGGAGGTGGTTTTTTGTACATCCTGCTTCCCAGTGTAAATACAACTGCAGTTGATATACAAACAGTGTTCTTTTAGCATATTTAGTCAATGTCAGTGTTTAGGATGGATGCTGATGTGTGGGAATGACTAGCAGGTATCATAATGAGGAGACTGACTTACACTTGCTGATTTGGGAGTTATAAAACTGATGGTATACACAAGAAGAATACAATAGTCGATTGATTAGGGAGATATGTTGATATTTTCATATAATCACAGAAATGGAAATTATCTTTGATGCTTCACTCTCATTTTTCCATCTCCATATTTCATGTTACTTTTATTAATTCTCTCTGTTAAATTTATTTCCTATCTGCCCGTTTGTATTTTTTGTATTACCACTGCTACCATTCTTGTTTAGGACTTTACAACTTCTAACCTAAACTACTAAAATGACCACAAACTAGTTTCTCAATCTCTGATCTCTCCCTTTTTTAATTCAATGCCAAACTAAAACCTTCTTTCTAGGATGTATTTAACAAGTCCTGGCATAAAAGTCCTTCTTAAATTCATTATTATTCAAGTGGTTAATATCTCACCATCATCTATTAAGGGTTTACTATCACATATGAGAGTCCTGGTTTGAATCTTCAGGATAAGCACTGGCACTATATAGGTGACCACAGGTCAGCAGTTCAAACCTACCAGCTGCTTCCTGGGAGCACTATACAGGGTCCATTTGAGTCAGAACCGACTGACAGCAATTAATAACAATTATATATAAGTACGTGCTAAGCATTTACATACATTAAATGATTTAACTGGACCAATTGTGCACTTAGGAATAAAGGACTGGTGATTTATTTTTAAAAAAACAACAAAAAACCCTTTGGAGCACAGTTCTATGCTGATATACATGAGGTCTCCATGAGTTAGTATCAACTTGACAATACCTGACTCTGTTAATGCACTAGACTGCAGATTAATGCGCTAGACTGCAAAGTCAGTTTGAACCATAAGGTCAGTGGTTCAAGCTCCTCAGAAACCCTATGAGTCAGAACTTACTCGATGGCATTTAACAACTATAACAATCTCCAGTTTCCTCACCAGCTGCTCCTTGGAAACCTTATATAGGGTCGCTGAGTCAGAACCAACTTGAAGGCACTTAACAACAACAAAACATTTCTGCCAACTTATACAAGCATGCCAGAAAAGTGTTTACCTATGCTTCACTGACTTTGCAAAGGTTTTCAACTGTGTGGAACATGACAAGCTATGGATAACAATGTGATGAACTCATATTCCAGAACACTTAATAGCGCTCATGATGAACCTGTACATAGATCAAGACGTGATGGTCAGAACAGAACAAGTGGACACTGAATAGTTTAAAATCCAGAAAGGTGTGTGCTAGGTTTGTATTCTTTCACTATACTTATTCAGTCTGTATGCTGAGCAAATAATCTGAGAAGATGGAGTTTATGAAGAAAACTGTGACACCAGGAATGGAGGAAGGTTTGTTAACAATCGGTGATATGCATATGATACAACTATGCCCGCTGAAAGCAAAGAGAATCTAAACCACTGATGAGGATCAAAGACCACAGCTTTCAATATGGTTTGCACCTCAATGTGAAGAAAACAAAAATCCTCACCAATGGGCCAATAAATGGGGAAAAGATTGAAGTCGTCAAAG